AATGGGCCACAATTTACATCCGCAGAGTTCCAACTATTTTTGAAGACTAATGGTATCAAGCATATTACCACGGCCCCATTCCACCCTGCAACCAACAGTCAAGCGGAACGTTTTGTTCAGAGTTTCAAACATGCTATGAAATGCGAGAAACAAAGTGCATCCCAGCTGAAAACCAATATGGCAAAGTTCCTTTTGGCTTACCGGAATACCCCGCATTCGACGACTGGAGAATCACCGTCCGTGTTGTTTTTGGGCAGACCGCTACGGACTCGCCTCGATTTGGTGAAACCTGATTTACAAAGGAAAGTGATGAACAGGCAAATCGATCAAGTGGGGAGAAAAGGACATTCCCCCACACGTCAGTTATCCATTGGTCAGACTGTCATGGCACGTAACTACAGTGGGAAAGACAAGTGGCTACCAGGCATAGTTCGAGCTCAAACGGGACCCCTTTCGTACGAGATAAAAGTTGGTCCAAATCGAATTTAGCGACGTCACATCGACCAGCTTCGAGCCTCGAGTGTGAAAGTAAATGACCAGAGTGATGATACGGCTGAACCTCATCCAGAGCTCGGAGAAACTGGCCAGAATATTGCACCAGCAGAAGAAATTGTCGCAGAGCCGGATATCGAACTAGCCACGAATCCACCAGTAGTGCAACAACAAGAAGCCGGTAGGGCTACAACAGGATCTGAACAACGCTACCCAACTAGATCACACCAACCACCCGAGAGGTGGGGTCTTAACTGTTTGATCCGAAAACTGTTTAAGAAAACTACATAGAGAACTGCTTTATTACTTACTGTTATGGTTAGCATAATTGTTCGAACACGATAGTGAACTCATGAACAATATTTTATGATACATTCCTTAAGAGGAGAGATGGTGTTAGATATATAGATATAGACGGACAGCGGTCATACGCACGGACATGCGCATTAGATATGTAAATCGGCCATGCTTATGTATTATTCATATTTTGTTAAAAGTATAATCTAAATACACGACACAAATATTTTTGTATTCATTGACTGTAAAAACAATCAATTTCTAAAGAAATGAATAAAGTACACTGTAAAATCAAAACAGTTAAATTAACCATTATTATTTGTCATGACCAAAATAAATACGTTGTTTTAACCTAAAATAAACTGGTTAAAATCATTAACCAATTTTTTTTTGTTATATTAACCGATAAAACAACAGTTGTTTCCACTTTTTTACCAGGTTATAGTGAAAACCTATTTTACCCCCTTAAAACAAGTTATGTTAATGGTTGTACTGCAGTGGATTCAACCATTTAGTAATTAGTTGTGATTATAGTAAATTCTCGTTACCTATACAAAAGGTTTCTTCAACCAAAAAAGTGGGTCATTTTATTCAACACTTTATCGTTATTACCGTATTATTTTTAATACATAAACCAAGTGCTCTATACTAACAGACACTACAGTGTATATGCCCTCTAGACGTCCGGTGTAAAACGTGGAACCACAAACAAAGCGCCAATTCGCTGAGACGATCCATAAGGATTCAGATGAAGTATGCATGGGCATGTAATTTGGCATCGTGTTCGGACGCAGTAGCACTTGTTCAGGTCTGATTTCTCTTCGTACTTCATAAGCATGGTAGTGCCTGTTGTGCCCAATGGTCTTGAACCTTGTATCGTTTCGGATTTGATGGTATGAACGTTTTATATGTAGTACCTTTCAACGTGCAATAATTTGTACACAGACATTTTTGACAGAACTGAATGTTATCGTTTGAGTTGAGCTATATCTGAAACAATCATTATTTGTTGGGTTGATAATTACATATATATACATATGGCATTGGCCATAGTTAAACTAACCGTTTTTGTTATAATTATTATGTATATGTTAAATTCGTTGAAATATATATATATATATATATATATATATATATATATATATATATATATATATATATATATATATATATATATATATATATATATATATATATATATATATATATATATATTATATAAAGAATCTTAAATCAGCCTGTCTTTTGTGTTTGTTTTGACCTGTTCTATTTGATTAAAATTGACAACCTATTATGAATAGTCAAAACTACCATATCAGTTAACCAATTTAATTGTTTACATCAGATTCACAGCAAAATCAAAAAAAGTGAGGGTAAAACAACTATAAATAGTAGTTTCTTTAACCAATTAAATTCAGTTGATATTTGTTTGATTACCCAATTTTAACAGTTATCTTAACCTGTAGAAATAGATCAATATAACCTGATAAAAAAGGTTGAATATCGAATAACAACCTCTCTATTCTAGTTAAAACTACATAACTTTGTTTTAATCTTTAACGACACGACCCTATTACCGCAATGCTTGTAAGCAATACGCTTTGCCGATTTAATATCTTCGGTTCATTGAATGCTATGAGGACAAAAATACCACCATTCGATTCAGTGTGACTAGATCTCCTCACTCGTAGCAATAGTTTTAGTCATTGGCAACATTATAGCGATTTATGAGCTTTAAAAGTAAAGCGAGATCGAATACGATCAAATTACGCATTTTACCAACAAATTATAAAAACATAAACATACCTTACGCCGAATATAACTTCGGCCCCTTGAAACGTATGCTCATTGCGATATTCTTGATGAATTAATCATTTAAAATGCCATGTATAACGTTATTTCCAAGCTTCTATCCTTAAAGGGTGACTTTTAGTGCCGAATTTTACATTTTTGCTCCGAATTTGCGATAATCCCAACCGGAAATACGACGAAAACTCGTCAAAACAATGCCACGCTTGTATCGCGTGACTCTGGAAATGCCAGAAATGGATTCTACAGGTCAAAGTGCACCCATACGCGTGAGTTTGACGTCATCCCGGCTAAAGGGAGCTCCTTATTGGCCAAGTATTACGTAATACAAGCGCGTGCGAGTAAAACCCGATACTTTAAAAATTCAAAATAAATATTTCTACTCGTCGTATTCATACGAAAGTTTCTACACTAAAGCGCTTGAATACAAAGAGTATTTTGCACATATAGCCTTTCAGAAAATGACGAAAAGTTTAGAAGATATTCAACTTTTTCTCTTTTTATCGTTTGAATGTTTGGCGACAGCGTGGATTATAACGTTTTTGCTTAAATCGGACAAATGTCCGATTAACGAGACTGTTGCTCGGACATTGGCCAACAATGATCAGCCAACTATTTCAACAATTTTTACGTGACAGTGCTACAAATCGACGTACCATTATTGATTGCACATTTGCATGCAGAAAAAAGCTTGGCGTACGCCAACTAGCAACGTCCTCCGCGTCTTCATTTTGTTTGTGTTTCTTTAGGAAATAAATGTATTTACTAATATATAGCTAGGCCTACGGCTTATAGAAATGAAACATATTTTTGTAAGTAGTAAGTATTGTAAATGCCGCCGGCTATGGACTGTAACTATCGAGATTCGGTCACTTGAGAGAGTATTTGCTAAAAGAGAAGCTCAATGACAATGTTTCCTCTGAGTGATTTTTTCATCCAAATATTTATTGATTGCATGGTATCGTAGGCATAGTTAGATGCTTTTCAAACAGTACTTTTCACAAAAACTACCTTCAATTTAAATGAACAGTGTCGTGTATTTTATTTGATCGGACAAAATGTCTGTGCAGAATGAAATTGATCGGCCATTTGGTGTTTTTGTTCGGCAAATAGCCGATTGCCGACCGTTATAATCCACACTGTTTGGCGAAGCGGTGAGTATAACTATATGATTGTTTCGGTTTGTATAATGTTCGACAGCACTTGACCCCCCGTTCGAAAGGTTATTTTGTGAGGATTACAATGGTGGGTTTTGTTTTAAAGGGGGGTAAATACTCGCCGCGATATTTACATTTGAAAAATTGAATTGTAATGTAATGCGAAACTACTTGTCGACAAGGAGTTAAACGTTATTATAACCTTGAAAAAATGGGTCAATGTAACCATTAATTAATGTAGTATTAACCAATAAAAATATAGTTACCACAGATTCAACTTGTGACCTATTATTTTGGGTTGTTTTAACTTATTTGATTTTACAGTGTAATAATTTTTAATTTGCATAGCGGGACTAAATTGTCGGGCTGTTTGCACCCCACCGGATAAAGTGAATATCCGTAACTGTACAGTAATGACGAAATAACCAAATGAATTAATGTGCGTAGATAATTTTAATAACTTATCGGATTTATTAAATTTATCTGTACGTAAAAATGGATGACGGGAATGCTGAGCCATATTACAGGAATTAAATTGAGCGAATTTTTATGCTTACGTCAGCTACACGATGGCGACGTCTTTCGTTTTGTAACACAGTTTTCCTCTCGCCAGTCTCCACCTGCCTTCTTTTTCTTCTTTCAAAAATTGGACCGTCATTGCTCCTATAGAATTAGAAAAATATTAAGTTATAAGGCATGTTTCTGCATGGAACTAATAGGCTGGGCAATGGAACTAAATCGAACGGATAGTTACAGTATAAATTTTTCAGATCTTTACCACGAGAGGTTGGGAAAATTAAAAGGTCAGTTACTCGGTTGTGCCATGTAAGTAGTAATAAGCAGTGATATACAGTAATTGTGCCTGATAAACCGACGCCCGAAGGGCGGGGTATTTTCAAACAATTCCAAGTGTTCCCGATTTCCGGGAGTTTTGATATTTAAGAAATAGAAAACATTTTCCGTGTATCTATAGAGTTATAGAAACACGCGGGAGAAAAGAGAAATTGTGTCACGCAATTTCGAGTTTCTCCCAAACTTTCACAAGTGTTATATTTGTTGTGTTGGTGTAGTGTATTCAGGTAAATAAGATGCTTGTGCTGTTACTCTGAGTGTGTATTCACACCGGGCAGGCTTGAAAAATATGCCTGGCCACGGTGGGAAGGCATATTTTTCAAGCCTGCCCGGTGTGGATACACACTCAGGGTAATATCACAAGCATTTCACAAGTGTTTCTATAAACTCTATAGGAACACGGAAAAAATGTTTTCTATTTCCCTTGTTAAATGGCCTTTTAAAACAGTAGAAAAGATAAATTTGAAAAGATACATTTTGACTTGGTAAACAGGCAAACAAACACAACGTGTGCTACTATACTTTGTGCTTTAGGTCTTCGCTTTCTAAGTTAGCAAAGTGTTGCCTTTTTTGTAACGGTTCTTCGGCGTCTTCGGACGTTTTTCAACATTTTTTCAAAATTAAATATTGTTTGGATTTTGTCTTTTAAACTCCCGCGCAATCCACGCAACGCGCGTGGAAATTCCCGGTGTTTCTATCGAGTTATAGAAACACAGGTTTTTTGAGCTTTTGACCAATCAGCGACCGTGTTTTTAAAAGGCTCTTTTATAAAACAGTATGTAAAACGGAAAAGTTTTATATTTGTTTTATAATATGCACAAAAAAAAACATAAAGAAGGAAATTTTCCGATGTTATCCGTTTTGACATTCAGTTATTTCAACACGGCTCTTAGCCAATCACCGTTCAGAATTTACAAATGCTATATTACTATTACACATATAAACAGATTAATGCCCGGGAAAGCTTGAAAATATGCCTGGCCACGGTGGGAATCGAACCTACGACCTTTGGAATACTAGCCGAATGCTCTGCCAACTGATCTTCACGATCAGGTCGATCCGGTCATTAGAAGAGTGGGATCTGGGGGTATTTTCCCCCCAGAAAATGTTTGTATTGTTCTACCCGT